CTTTTTGGTTTTTGGCCCACAACTTTTTTCTGAGAGGAGTTAGATATAGGCGTTGCTTCATAGAAAAAAAGTTAATGTTTTTTCCTTTAAAATAAGCCTTTATAGAAGTACCTACGACTAATAGAAACCGAGATACATTGGATCAAAGTTGGCTACTTTTTGGATTTTTGGCCAATTTTTACCCTTTTTTGACGATTTTCGCCTTATAACTTTTTCTGAGTTAATTTAGGTATATGTAATGCCATATTCAAATGAAAGCTGATTTCAAGACCTTCAAGAAAACATATTTTTGTATATTACGATGTTTCCTATTCCAAATAAAGATTATATATTATGTTTTTTTTACTCACTGGCGCTAGCAATCAATTCTCCATTCTTGATGGCAAAAGCAATACTTCGCAGCTTACAATAAAAGCAACAGTCTCTACAAATTACATATCGAGTTACAAATTCTCTAAAAAATTCCAAAACGAGCACAACGCTCCCAAATCAGTTCTTACTCTGCCATTAACAAAAAATCAGCTCTCACACTATCCATTATACAAAGAGATCCTAAAGCTTACCGTACATGCCTTAAGTAGACTGTACACCATCAGACTTTAGTGTACAACTCAGTGAATACAGATAGTTATCTTCAAATCTCAACTTCCCAGGTCAAAATGATCCTTCTGAACCCATCTTGAAGACTGCTAACCCGATAAACATGCTAAAGGGGAATAATGGTACGTTAACTCCACAGCAAGCTAACCCGAACATCAAAAACCCAAGCACGGCGCCCAACGTAGGGCCATGTTGCCAAATGAGCAAGTAACCGAAGATAACCCACGTCGATAACTTGCAGCAAGTTACTATATGTTAAGCAGCTGAAGCTTTTTATGGTTCTAGCAGCCTTGCAATGACAGTAAAATTACGTAATTGAAATGAACGCAATTTTGTTGAAATTGTAATGTAAAGATTCTTGTTTACTTTAGTGGAAAGGAGTAAAAAAAAATATTTTTATTAAGAGGACTCTACAGCACATAGGCAACTTGCAACACATTTTAATAGATTTTATTACTCAGTTTGTCTAAATATGAATTAATGCACAAATAACGGATTTTCCCCCATTCTATCGCGGATTTTCTATAAAATTGACTTAGTTTGAACCTCAAATACTTTTTGTTGTAAAGAAATTTATAATTTGCCCGCGAATTACAAATTTCCTTACACCAAAAAGTAATATGAGTTTCAAACTAATTCCATTTTATAGAAAATCTGCGTTAAAATTGGGGGAAAATCCGTTACTTGTGCATTAATTCATATTTAGACAGACTGTAATAAAATCTATAAAAATGTATTCCGAGTTGCCTATTTGCTATAGATCCCTCGTAAACCTAATAATTTGTTTTGAATTTAATAAACAAAAGCTATAAATGTATTGTACTTATTGTACCGATTATGATATCACCAATAAAATATAAAATTAGTCACATCGATTTCTTGTTAAAACCAATCTCCCGAATTCAGATAAGGCAACAGTTTTTCGCAACCAAAAAAATTTTGTTTTAAACGACATGCATTTTTTATATGGATTTGATGATCTATCTCTAATAAATAACGAAAATAGGTAAATCACAAAAGAGTAAGCTAATAAAAAACGAAACATTTTTATTATATCTGAAAAAGTCATTTATTAAATTTTTGAAAAGGTAAGGTACCTACGTCGAATCTATAATCCATATAATTTCTTCCAAGAAATACCCAGCTTATCTGGCAAATATTATTTTTCATACAATTCGACAAGATAAGATTTATCCACGCCATCAAATTTTATAAGTATCGGAAAATAAGAAACACCAAGGTAAAAACGATTTCGGTGTAGTGTATAAACGATAACAGTGTGAATAAGAGCGAGTTATCTGCAACAAGTGCAACACTTTGTAGTGTACGTAATTTCTATTATAGATCAAGGTAGGTTAATTTTCTAAAAAAAAACCAACACTAAGACTATTCAGAAAACATCGCAGTGCTCCTCTAAATTTACCTATAATATTTATTTCTCATTTGATCAAATTAAATCTAAAGTTATTTTCTGCATATTTGAGTAAATATTTTTTGTTTAAAATAAAAAATAATGAGATATCACTTTAGAGATAAATAGACTAGGCGGTATCTGTTTTGGTTTGGGTGAATCGTAAATCCACGGAGATTTTTGGCTTTTTGGCTTTCAAATATCACTAGAAATGAAAATTTTTCTATGCGCATAAAAAAATCGTGGGCTTAACTTTTAGCGGCACAATATGTTAAAAAATTTCGAAAAATTAGGGATTTTTTGGGGTATTTAAATTGGGTATAGGACCTTCACACTTGGCTCAAGAAAACTTCATGTTATGTAGAATCATCACACCGAATTTCATCAAAATCGGTTCTATTTTGCATACTTAATAATTTTGCAATCCAGATTTTGAAAAAAAAATTGCAAATTTTCAAAATTTTGCACAGCAAAAGCCAAGGCCCCCAGATACTTGAAAATTTAATCACATATAGAAGGGCTCTCAAGCTTTCAAACGCTTTTTGAAAAATTCGAACCCGTCAATTAGGAGAGCTCTGGCGTTTGTTTAAACATTGGTCGAATTTCTATACTTATAAACAATAGAATAACTTCAATTTGAAGTTATTACTTCAATCAAATTTTCTAAGAGATTGAGGTATTAGACAACGCGGAAATTAATAATTATTTGGAGTTTGAAGATGAAGAAGTTGATGAATATAATATCGAAGAAGAAAACGAAATCCCATGCAAAAAAGTTCGACTAAATTGTTAATATACATATATTTTTATACATATAAATAAATAATATACATTCATAAAATAACAAAAATTTGTGTACATTTTTTAAATCCTGATTTATTAATGCAATTAAGTATGAATAAAATATTATTGATTTTTTATAATTAATTTATTAATTTAATCATCATTTCTTTTGTGATTATAGTATAATTCAAATATTATTTATTGTTTAAAATATAAGCAAATGAGAAATTAATTCATTATATTACTAATTTTCGACATATTTTGAGAATAATTGTTGTTTAAACAATTTTAGAATATTTAAATAAATTTGTTTTTGATCTTTGATAAACAGTATAAGTTTATGCACTTACCTTTGATACAATAAAAAATAAAGTTGATAATTAAAGGAAGTTTAAAGATAAATAATTATCGGATTGTTGAAAGACCAATAACTATTAACGACAGGCATTTGAAAATAAAAGTGAGATATTAAAAATGTTTAAGCGTGTCGCGGTTTTGAACCCGCCGAATCAATTTCGAGCAGGCCGAAGCGGCTGCGCTGTCCGTCACCACCACCCGTACGATTTTCTTGAATTTCTCGCTTGCATAAATAACTTTAAACACGTTTTAAAGTAGGTTACCAAAGTATTGCAAAGTTAGACCTGGTAAGAGCTCGGAATACCAAAGGTATTTTTCGAAAAATTAGCCCGGATGTCCCAGTACATTTAGTGTAAATGACGGTTAACTTTGATCGGCTATAACTACGTAACTAACCGTCTTTCCAAGATCTTTTAGAACCTGCTTTAAAAAATTTGATTTGATTGAATATTCACACAGTTATTCTAATTGTTTATAAACAGAAATTCGACCAATGTTTAAACAAGCGCCAGAGCTCTCCTAATTGACGTATTCGAATTTTTCAAAAAGCGTTTGAAAGCTAGAGAGCCCTTCTATATGTGATTAAATTTTCAAGTATCTAAGAGCCTTGGTTTTTTGCTGTTAAATTTTGAAAATTTGCAATTTTTTTTTCAAAATCCGTATTGCAAAATTATTATGTAAAATCTATAGAACCGATTTTGATGAAATTTGATGTGAAGATTTTACATAAGATGAAGTTTTCTTGAGCCAAGTATATAGAAGGCTCTATACCAATTTAAAGACCCCAAAAAATTCCCTAAAAAGTAATGTTTTTAATCCCACTTTTCGCGATTTTTTCGATTTTTACAATAATATTTTGTAAACAAATTAATTACAAACATTTTTTTCCTCTTCCATATTCGCCTAAAATGAATTCTTGAAAAGAGGAAGAAAAATATGACATTTTTCGAATTTTTTTAACATATTGTGCTACCAAAAGTTAAGCTCACGTTTTTTTTATGCGCTTAGAAAAATTTTCACATCTAGTGATATTTGAAAGCCAAAAATTCAAAAATCTCCGTGGATATACGATTCACCCAAATGTGGACTTTTTTAAACATATACCGTCTGGACTAAAAGGGCTCTGGATATCAACAAATTTTTCTTTATTCAAATTTCGTATGTAGCTTTCCTTTTTCTAAACATGCACGTGTAAACCGTAGATATTTTTTGTATTTAGGGGCATGACAATTACAACAGCTTGAACTATTAACAAATTTTTGGAACACAAATACAGGGTGTTCATTAAAGAATGAACCAAAGTTTACCAGTAGATTCTACGACGAAAATTAATGGGGAAAAGTCGTAAACGTTTAGTTTTTGAGTTACAGCGTGTTGAAGTTGACAAAATAAAAACGATTTCAGGCATATCTCGGAGACACGTTAAGGTTTTTTTTTTCTGGTTTTGATTCGAGGAGTTTTAACGGGGACGTACATCATTTACTTCAGATAATTGGAAAAACATACCATTTAAAAAACATCCCGTATATTACTATGTTTCAGGTCGCTTCTAATTACGAACATACAACACGAAGTTTAAAGAAATGGACAGAGCCAGGTACGAAAAAGGTGGAGACGCCGGCAGCAAGGGTGTTGGGTTCCAAGTCAGTCTTCTGACGATGTTTCTTCTGAACGCCCTGCAGAGAATCAGCAACTGGAGGCTTTCTACGGAAAATAAACTAGCGGGAAAATTTGACGACGTGGTGTTGGAGTCGCCAGAGGGCGCAGTTTTGCTGCAGGCGAAGCACAAGAAGAAGGGGAAGATCACCATGGAGGACTTGCTTTCTACCAACTCGAGGAACGACGATTTCAGTCTCCCCAAATATTTCCTCTCATACCAAGAAATCAGAAATGAATTTAAACTGAAAAACGTGGTTATCTGCACTAATGCCAGTGTCCACGAGAAGGCTTTGAAATTTTTAGACCGTCGACAAATATGTTCCGAAAGCATGTTATATTGTGTGGACGATGATTATTCATTTTATACGTTTAATATGGACATTCTGCCTCGTTTAAAAGAAAACGTTGAAATATACTTGGAAAAAAATTGTCAGAACAGAAATATTGACCAAACGGTAATCAACGATGAAAATTTAAAAGACTTTTTGGAACGCTTGCAGGTTTATGCCGGTTACCCATCGGAGAACACTTTGGAAAAAATTATCGAACAATTATTGTCCCACATGAATAGGTCTAACGCCTTGTACGAAAAAATTTCTTCTTTCGAAATACGCGCCAAGGTAATGGATTGGTTCCAACACAAAGACGGAATATATTTAATTGAGGCCCGCGCAAAGGCGATGTTTTCTGAATTAAGGACGGCCAAATACTGGCAAAAACTAGACCAATACAGAGTGGTCTTTCGACATAACGACTTGCGATTTACGGATTCCAAAAGAATTTATCACGTCATAGCTAAAGACGGATATTTGCTACAGATGATAAAGGTATATCATGCGCTGAAGAACGATACATCGAAAATCCTGTGCGTCGATCCCGATGACGGCATTGAAGTTCAGAAGCAAGTAGTAGAGGCATTCCAATTGTCTCAGTACACCTTTCTAGTTATCGTTTGGCCTAAACATGTGGAAGAAGTAATAATGACCGAAATAAGTGATAAATTAAGTGCCACCTTAAAGGATTGTCAGTACAAAAAAGTAATTTTAGTAACTGAATCCGATGATAAGTTGGATCAACTCTTTGGATTAGGTCAGAGCGATAGTGAGGTTATTTTTGGTTCTGGGACATTCGACGACTTGTCAGAAGAAACTCGGGAAAGCTTATTAAACAAGAGAAATATCGTTTTCCAAGGGACGGACCTCAGTTTAGGAGAACTAATCCCAATGGGGGAGACCGAAGATTTTGAGAAAGCTGCTAATTTAATTTTACAAAGACTGATCAGCAACGAGAAAGTTACCGTTGGGACACCTGTCATCGGTTTAGATGAAAGTATTTGCCCCCTTTATATAAACCGCATATTTAAGAGGAACATCGAGAACATGGAAGACGAAGAGGCAAACGTCTTTTATTCAGAGGACAATATTTTTGACGTAAGTGAAAAGATTGTTCTAATCGCCGATGCAGCCGGTATGGGAAAGACTACGGTCCTTACCAACTCGGCAGCTATTATTAAGGACAGACACCCCCATTTGTGGGTCATAAAAATAGAGTTGAACGATTTTTCTGGTATTTTAAAGGATTCCTTGAAAAGGAAAAAGAAAACGATACACGTCTTGGACCTGTTGAATTCCAAGGATGCCACTAGATTGATAAACAAGATTGAAAATTTTGTTTTCGCAATGAAAAGAAAAGTGGTCTTGATGCTAGACGGGGTGGACGAAATTAGCCCAGATTATACTGATCTCATAATAAGTTTGCTCTTGCAGTGTCAAGAAGCGTTCAATTTTGCGAAGGTGTTTGTTACTACGAGGCCTCATATGGTCGAGGATTTGAAGGAAAAATTGCAAGTAGCTTTGTTTACGTTGGAACCCTTCACCGAAGAGAACCAAATGTATTTTCTGACGAGATATTGGACGCATCACTTAAACTTAAAAGAAGATACCGATAAAAGGAAGTGTGAAAAGTACGTCAAGGCTCTGGTGAACAGAATGTCATTGACTGACCTGAATAACGGAATAGAAGATCACTTTGCTGCCATACCCCTACAACTGAGGATGATGGCAGAAATATTTCAAGAAAGTATGGCATCGGACCAGGTTCTGGACTGGCAAGGATGCAAAGAATACTTACATGAAGACGAAGAAGAACCCAAGTTGCCGAAGAAAATGAATTTAGTGAAATTATACGATTTGTTTATCGACAAGAAACGAGACATTTTCATCGACAAAGAAAATCCAAATGGACACACGGCGGCTACTCAGGCATTGACCGATCAGTTCGATGAGTGCCTCGCATATAATCGAAAACTCGCTTTGCAAATTGTACTCGACGAAAGAGAATGCGAACTGTTTTCCTTTTACGAAACCGTCACAGATATGGAGATTTTAGCGTTAAAGATAGGAATTGTCCAAAAGTCAAACAACAAATTTAATTTCATTCACGATAATGAATTCACATACATGAAAATCGATTTCATTCACAGGACACTGGCCGAATATTTTGTCGCCGAAAGTATAGCGAGAGAACTTCAATGTGAAAACCAAAGTGCTGAGTTTCAAAAGTTTTTGATCGAAGAAGTTTTTGTTGCACGTGGATACAATGTTGTTCTTACTTTCCTTGATAATTTTCTGCAAAAGATTATAGATTCTCTGCCGTCCACTGTTTTCCAGAAGTATCAGTCTGGTTCGTCCAAGGTTCGTATTTGGATGCACAATGTAAATTTAATTCATCAATTGGCAAAAAACGGTTTCGTAGCAGTCCTCCGTCTCATTCTAAAATGTACCAACTTTACAATTATCAGAGATAAAGAAGTCGATTTAAGTAATATTTACGACGATGATATTCTTAGCAAGATTAGAAACAATAACATATTAAATTATTTAGGATTATTTTTAAGACAAGGTGGACTTAACATTAAAGATTATCTTGGTAGGACTCCATTGCATTTCGCTACTAGTGAGGGTCACTTAAAGATGGTGAAGTTTCTACTGAAACAAGGGGCGAATATTAACAGTAGGAGCGATTTTTGCGAAACACCGATTGTCTTAGCTGCTCAGAATGGTCACATGGATGTAACAAAATATTTATTGGGCCATGCTCTAAGCTTCGAACAAACCGTAGGCATCGAAGATGTTAGAGTAAAAGATTCCGATATGACAACGTTCCTTTTAGATATTTTGGGGAATAACATAGAGAATACCATGGTCCCGTACGTGGCTGCTTGCACGGGCTCTCTAAGTGCGTTGGAAGCTTCGATAGAACAAGGAATTGACGTCGACTATAAATTTGAAAACGGCGAGACATTGATTTTCGCCGCTGCTCGCGGGAGACAATTACACGTCATCGAGTACTTGGTAGAGAAAGGCGCCAATATCAACAGTAAAGATGATCGCGGCAGAACAGCACTTCATTTAGTTTCAGAAAAGAGCTGTGGTGTGTCGACCGGAAAATTGTTAATAGAATTAGGGATAGATGTTAATACAAAGGATAATTCCGGAGAAACAGCGCTACACCTAGCCGCTTCTGGTCATGACTTGGACATGATAAAATTGCTGCTGCAGAGTGGCGCGAACGTAAACAGTATGGACCAGTTTGATAAAACTGCCTTGAGTGCAGCTGCTTGTTGGGGTTCTTTGTCCTGCGTTCAGTTCCTCGTAGAAAATGGCGCGGATGTTAATATCAGAGATCGAGATGGTAACACGGCAATACATTTAGCAGCTAAGGAGAGTGAAATGGAGATTGTGAAATTCTTCGTTGAAAATGGCGTGGATATTGGCATTAGAAATAATGGTGGACAAACAGCTCTACATGCGGCCGCTGCAGAAACTGATGAGGACACAACTCAGTTCCTTGTGGAACGTGGCTTGGAGGTGAATTGCACGGACGACAGAGGGCGAACGCCACTGCACGTAGCTATTGAAAGATTTTTGACTCACCTGGACCGTACCACCGATTCAGATCTCTCGACTACATGCGAAGAGGCATACACGCGTCAACTTTCAGAATGTCAATGGCGGCTGGATTATTTCAAGTTTATCATAGATCAAGGGGCGGATGTCAATTTGAAAGACAAAGAGGGACGTACGGTGCTACATCTAGCTGCAGAAGAAGGGCAGTTACACACCGTCAAATTCCTTCTAGAATCTGGTGCAGACCTTACCGTTAAAGATAGAAAGGGTCATACCCCACTGCATCTGGCCGCGAAGAAAGGTCGTGGTTTGGTAAAATTCTTAATTGAGCAAGGCGCAGATATTAAAAGCAGAGACAATAAAGGAAGCACGCCGGCTGCCTTGGCCAAAAAGGCAGGCCATCTGCATCTACTCCAATATTTGAAGACGAAAGACGGAAGACCGGCTTTTATAAGAATATTCGGTGCGGGTTGTTTGAAGTAGCGAGCGATTGTAATAATTATTCTTTTCGAAAATGGGCATAAGATATGTTGACAATTTTATTGTGTCTCCTAGACAAAAGACTCTTTTATTCAAGGACCAAATGAGTGTCCGCAAAAGTTATTTTTTGATGGTATCGATGCTGACGGAGCAATTGAATGAGAAACTTCAACCTTTTTCAAAAATATTCTCAATATACAACAATATCTCTTGGAGTGCTTCTTATTTTACTAACAGCCACTTGCTTGGTACATTTTCCATTAACACATCTAATGAAAATATATTAAAAATGTACTTTTTACCATAAAGTAAATGGATCAGTTGTTGGAGGTTTCAGTTTCACGACCTTATGATAAAATAAGCCAGTAACACAGTTTCAGATGATTCTTTAGTTTTCTTTTCAGTGTGCCATTTTTTGCAATCATTATAAGTTATTTTATATTGTCTCTCACATTTTTGAGGAATATATTCAGTCGTAATAATTTAAAACTAATATAATAGTCCAAGGGCCCACGTGCAAAGAAATAAAATGATTACCAGCAAGCTGTAACTTTGAGTGCAGCTTAAGTTTGACGAGTCTCCCAAGATTTGATTACGAGGAAAATTCAACATTGGTAAGTTTTCCCGTGATTTTCAGGAAAACATGTCAATCTGCACTTTTTTTTAAGTTTAAATGAGATATATTTTTTTTAAACCCCCCAAAACATTTGTCCGACAAAAATGTTGGTATTTTGAGATTGTCCCCCACCCCAAATATGTCGATTTGGTGACATTATGGTTGGTGACAGCCAGCAAGCTGATTTTTCTGGGAGGATTTGCTAATAAGATTTGAAATGAAAGTATCTTATTATCCGACAAAATTCTTGAGAAGTTTTTGCAGTTCGACGCCCCGAAGATGTCGACTTAACGACAACATGGTTGGTGATAACCAGCAAACTGGTTTTGATTTTTTTCTCTAATAATTGAAATGTATAACACAATAATATACTTGTCCTCCAAAATGATTGGAAAATTTGCCTTAAAAATGGGAAAAATAACTATTTTTGTGGTACCTAATGTTCATTCCGCTATAAAATAATTAATTATTTAATGAAAAAATAAAGAAGAATAAATAAGAAAATTATCTTGTTAATAGGAGCAACAGAAATTAAAATTCATAAATAATTATGTCTAACTAATTTAATTAATCTCCATCAAAATGATTTCTTTGTTCAAAAAACTTATATGTACATTTTATTTTATAAACTATTGTAACTATTTTATAAAAAATGGTAACTGTACAATGAATGCATAA